GAATTCCGAATCAAATGCCAAAATTCGAAGTATTTGTCATTTTTCTGCATGATATATTACATATTTTATTATATATTAATTCTTTATAACATAATCTCTATCGTGCTCCAGTTTCATAAATAATTAGTATTTCCTCATGACATGTTCGTGTAATTTCCTGGCGAGCTGATTCGTTAGATTACTTTATCCAACACATTTTTTAAAGATTTTCATTAAATAACGTGTGTAAATTGTGATATCGCGTGATCGATACACACCCCGAAAATTCGCACTTTGATTTTGACAGTAAATCGCAATTAATATCGCGTTTCTCCGATTGGTATAGCTCGCATTGAGTTTTGCACAGGTTCTAGACCTTTCACATGCCTTACAGTCGCTAGATAGACAACGAGTGTTATCACTGCGTATATTGAACCGGCATGTGGCAACCGTTGTGGCACTCGGTTGTATGCCACGTCGATCGAGAGGTATAAAAAAAAAACTCATGGAAATCAGATATAAAGACTCACTTGCACGCAACAGTTGACTCTCGACTGCTTTGAGCGATCGACATGCCGGTATATGCGTGAGAACGCTCGAAAACACATTTTAAACTAGTAGATAATAGAGCTGTGTGGAAAAAAAAGAACATGACATTTTCATTAGTTCGTGATTTTACAAAATGTAACCAGCCACACGATTTTAAGACGAGCGATTCCACGTTTGAAAGTTAACACGCAACGACGTCCGCAAAGGAAAATTCGCGAGCTTGTATACCGTACAATTTTTTGCTAACATCGCATGTATAAGCAAAACTGTATATATGTAGAAGTATCAAACGAAATTTTTTCGAGGACGAATTCGGTTCGCGTAGATTAACGAGCGGATCGCTATACGAATGATAGGTAGGATTGAGTAACGGCGCATTCTTCAAATAGAAATTGTTATGAAACGAAATTTCCGAGAGAAATAAAAAAGAGAAGAAACAAAAACCGATTATTCGTAATCCGTTTGTTTGGATAAAATAGCAATTAAAATAGTGGACAAACAAATAAATGACGAGAAAAACAGGACTCCGTGAATTACGTGATGAAACATTCTAAAAATGGATCGTTATATAGTTTCATGGAAATCGTCTCATCTTCTTTACACGCATGTACCAACATCGACTCACATCCGTGTGAGAAGAATGGTAGCCGAACGACGACGGTCGAGCTCATTTCAAAGTAAACGTAACTGTTGTCACTCGTTTTACATTCCTAGGAAACTTTTCTCTCATCACTTAAGACCGGTTAATTACCACGACTTTTAATTACGCGCAACGAAAGGTAGAAATTATCAGACAGAGAAATTCCGCGATCCCCCTGTAACTTACTCTCGGAATATTCAGTACAGTCGTACTCAGGGCTCATGTAGTCAACGTTGTTCACTTATATGTCGCGCGCGTATATGTCATCTATATTCGTCCCCTTTTCTCTAGATATAAGAATTAATGCAAAGTCCGAGTGATTCAGTTCTGTGTGTACACGCGACATATCATCCGGAGTGGTCGCGGGCGCTATTTCCGGAATGCTGTTTTTTTTTCTTTTTCCGATATGACGGATACGGCTTCGAGATCATTGAGCAGAGAAAAACCGGTCGTTCCACACGTTACGCTACAGAACAATCGGTGATAAACGCAAAGCGCCGAATTGCGCGCGCGCTCTCTCAGCCGCGTGCTTTTTCGACGAACGAAAAACGCGTACGCGCAAAAACACGAATACACACTCATCCATATGTACACACGTTCACATACGCACACGAATACACGCTTATATACGGCACACAAAATGAATGCACGTCGTCACACTTTAAATGGCGATCGAACGAAACTCGCGACTGGCGTTTTGACTTATCGTCAGATCGAGTTAATTTACCTCCCTTAGGGATAGGGAGGTGTCACCAAGACAAATTGATGTCTAGAGAAATGATTCGTAACTTTGATTAAATTGCCCGTTGCCACAAAATCGTCTTCATAAAAAAGTCTTTTTTGTTGCAAATTTATTAATGAAAATATTGTTTTTTTTTCTCAGAAAAAGACAGAATGTTAAATTCACACATACATGATGCATAATAAACTATATAAAATAAAAAGCAGTTTGTTTGAAATTATAAAAAATTCATATAAAGTATTATTAAGCGCCACTTTTAACCAAACACTTTTGACCTTTTTCGCTTATTTGTATTGAATATTTTTCAGTCGATTTTTTCTCACTTTAATATTATTTATAAAATAAAACTACTTATTAAAATAAAAATCTAAAAGAAAAATATCCAATAAAAATCAATTTATGAAGTAAAAGATAATACATTGTTACAAGTTTTTCTATTGCTGCGAAGATTTTATAACGTTTTTTATAATTGTAGGTAGTCTGTTGCTTACCGATAAATGTTAAACATTCGATGATTTTCTTTAAATCATTTTTTAATTATATATTAATCATTCAACGTGAGATGCAAAAATACTCCTGTAGAAGCATAATAATCCGACTTGACAGTACGATTCGAATGCGTGGATCGACAGAGCCTCACTTACATAAGATGCCAATGTCGGGCATAAGCCAACCAATCAATCGCGAAATCCAGCTTTAGTGATTGAGCAATAGTATACATTCGCTCGCGATTGGTTTAGGGACTTATGGAATTGATTGTGGCTTGCATGTGCAAAAAGACAACGATCAAGGCCTGCATATACTCTGGATTCATTGTTACACGTGCTAGCAAATGACACTCCATTAATATTGAAAAAGCCTTAAGCTTTAATATCAGGCATCATTAATATTATTGACCAATACCATTGTATAATATTTATTGTATAATTTTAATATGAGATACATATCTTCAACGCTGATAAATATCAAAATAAACAGTAAAATTGTTACGCCACGCTTTACGATATATCGATAATTACTATTATTACTAAATTGAATATTAAATAAAATATAAGAAATTCAATCAAGCCGTATTCCGAATAAAATGAGAATCGAAAAATAAATTTGTATCGGATAAAAGCGTAGCGAATTTCATACAGAACATTCGAAAAAAATTGATATATACTACCCGCCGAGAGACCGCGATTGCGATCGAATCGGAGAACGTGCGGTCGTAAGTATGGATCCAGAGCAGCATCCGGCCGCCATATCCCTTGCTCGATCGTTTTCGCGAGGCTTCGTCTCGGACACGAGAGCCACTCGGACCAGCCACTCGAAGCAACAATATAGGCTCGCCGGTCCGTAATCGTGAGAGTTTGTCGACCGAAGCTTCGAGGGAATAACTCGATGTTGATTCAACGAGACTACCTCGTGTATTCTCCTAATTGAGATCGCGCCATTTTGCCAGCGCGAGTTTCCCGTCCCGCCGAATAAATAATTCCGTGAATCCGTTCGCATTTCTGTTATTTTTTTTTTCTTTTTCTCTTTCCCTCTTCCACCAAATTGACTAGAAAAAATCCGCGAGAGATACTTGGCGTAGCTTAAGCGTCGTTTCTCGCTTCCTATGCAATTCTACGCGCCAGCCTCATCGCCGGAAACGTGTATTGCCAGTCTCCGTGCTCGCCGTTTATCGTCTTAAGGGGAGCTACCTAATGCATTTTTTATCCGGGAGATTTTAGCCTCCCAACTGACTCAAACCGCTTTGGCTTAGCCATTATACAAATGTATTACCCGTCGATATTGTGCTGCACAACCGCCCAGACAATGACGTGGTTGGCGTAGCGTATCGTCATCACTTCCCTCGTCCCTGGCTTGGTGCACGTCGTGTCAGTCGTGTGTATGCATTTCCTGTATGCACTCCGTATGCGCGAGACATCGCCTTGCGATCGACTTTCATTGCCGTATTACACAGAATGTTTCCAGAGGAAAGGCCAATATTTTGAAAGACAATAATGTCAATCGTTGCGAGTGTAAGAGAATCTTAATGAATATATACTAAATTTACATTCTCGAGTTTGTAGTGAGATTCTTACGAGAGAGCATTGTGAACTTGAAAATACGTATGATTTCTGCGTATTCGATCGTAAAATTTTATTATCAATCGCGATATTTACGTATTCTTAAATACAAACTTCCGTGAGTAGCTTCAAAGACGTTATTCAGGACATATATACTCATATCATTCACAACGATAAACGTCGTCATCTTTCATACGTCGACCACTTTTTTTCGGAACATTCTGTTGAACAGGTTAATATTGTCGATATCGAACACTGGAGGCAATCCTCGTGACACAAGTACAAACGAAACCGAACGTCTACCAATTGATTGCACCACACGCACCGCGCACAAGGACATCTCTAACTGTGTCACTAATTGCCGTCGACCGCCTCAAAGGATCGCACCACTACAAACGCTCGTTTGCAAGGGTTCGCGTTTATGATTGGGATCATCGATGATGATTCTTAAATTCGAAAGAGCCCAAATCATCATTTTTGCTATTCGCTTAAATTCATTATTCATGTTAATTTACTTAACACAGTCGATCATGTAAGTCATTCGAGCGAAACTTCATGCACGATGCAAACGATTCTCAGTGGCCACGATGTCAATCTTTTGCAGTAACGATCCACGCGTTCATCGACCTCTCGAAAGCTCCTTGCATACGCCTAGCGATTCGATGCGCGTACTTTAGTTATGGCAGTCTTTAGAAATGAGCTGTACGTTGTTCACGTCTTGTCTATGATTCAATTGTACCGTACCTTCCCGATTGCAAGGTGCTATCGCTTTTGCTGACTTGGATAGTATCAAGTTGAATGTGAAATTGTATAATGTCGTATCTTCCATCACTGTAACGTACATACGTAAACGCGATTGCGAGCATAACGCTTTCGTCCAGCTGTAAAGAGTAGTCTGTGCACAACAATAATGACACGTTAGCTTTGATCATTGTCACACTGACGCGATCACACTTAAACGCATGACTCGTCCGGCACATTTTATTTCCTGTTCACTACCGCCCGCCCGGCACTCGTGAGGACAACTCTTTTTTTTTTCTTTTTCTCCTTCATTCTTCCCTAGCAATCGGTGTCGTCCTCCTGGTGCCGTCTACGTAGCTCCAGATAACGGTGCCGGGCATCGCAGTAATGAAGTAGCGGTACCTAGACGTCGGTACCGGTGCCCTCCTGATAACCCTCATCGGGCGAGCTGCGCGTGGATCCCAGGACGCGTTTCAGCGCCGAGACCGGCGGCAGCACCGGGACGCCCTTTTGCCAGACTCTCATCTGCTTCGCGCCGGGTGGAAATTGCTCGACGACCGGCGCGACCACCGCGAGCTGCTCCTTCGACGGGTACATGTTCGCCGAGACGGCGGACGTCCTGCCGCAGCTGTCCCTCGCCTCCCATAGGCAGCTGGTGTAGAGCATCTTACCGGCGTCATCTAGGGCTTCGACGCGGCCGTAATCGGCGACGCCGTAAGGCGTGATGTCCTCGGTGGAGCCGCGCCGAGTATCCCTGATGAGATCCGGATTATCGATCGGCATCAAGGATGTCGTCGACGAAAAACATCCGGCACCCGGCATCGCTGCCACCGCGGGCTGATTCTGATCGTCGAAACGGCTAATTGTGCTGTACTCGCTCTCCTGCATTACAGCCGCGTGCGGTCTCTGCACATAGCTCAGATGCAGCGACGCGGGTGGCTTGGACTCCAGGGCGAATGACGTCGTCTCGATCTCCTCGTGTTTTCTGCGAGTGGTCGCGGACGATGGATTGTTGTCACCGCCACCACCGCCGCCGCCACCCCCGCCGTTGCCACCATTGCCGTCGCTGGACGCCGCTTCCATCGGCGCCGACGACTTCATGTCCTTCAGTGGCATTCTCCGCAAACGAATGAATAATACGAGAATGATGAGTAGGATGAAGAGTATGAGCACCACTAACGCAGCGGATATCCCCGCGATCTGGCCCGAGCCTAAAGTCGACATGCCCGCCGTTCTTAGAGACACGTGCAGGGTGAAATTTGCCTCGACGGAGCCAGCGGGATTCTCGGCGACGCAATAGAACTCGCTGGAGTCCGCCTCCTGTGCGTTGGTGAGAATGAGAGTGCTTCGCTTCCTAAATTGGCCCTCCTCGAAGATGAGGATCTTTTGATAGCTGCTGAAAGCCGAGTGATTGGTCAACAACCGGCCGTTCCAGTACCACTTGACGTCTGCTGGTGGTATCGCGCTCACGCGACACACGATACTAGCGTTCTCGCCGATGGTGGCCTCGGCATAACGACTGGCTATCAGCAAAATCGGCCGGCAAGCAAAGTCGTCGATACCGAGATCGGTGAAGGCACGGTCGAGCAACTGCTGGGGTCCGTGACATACGGGCGCCACGATGGTCGGTAGATTATGCTTTACCAGCCACATCTTCATCTCACGTAGATGACAATCGCAGATCCACGGATTTTCGTGCAGCTCGATGCTAGTCAGCTTATTAAGCGGCTCGAAGGTGCCTGGGTGCAGAGTAGACAGTTCATTGTTGCTCAGCTTGAGACTCTCGAGCATTTCCAATCCGCGGAAACCTTTGGCCTCGATCTCGACGAGCTGCGTGTGCGACAAATCGAGCTTCACTAGATTCGGCGTGCTCTTAAACGCGTGCGAGCGAATCCGCTTAAGCGGGTTATACGCGAGCACCAAATCGCGCAGGAATGGCGTGTCGGTGAAGCTCAAACTCGGCACCGCGGCCAGCATATTATTGCTGAGATCGAGCTCCACGAGATTCGTCAAGCCGGCCAATGCCTCGCTATCTATCCGATCGATACGACACTCACGCAAGTAGAGACGCTGCAGATTCGTTAGCCGCACGTGTATAAATATGTTGTTTGGCAGGTGACAGATGTTGTTGCCGCTCATGTCCAGCACCTGGGTCTCCGGATCGATCCACTCCGGTATGCTGGTCAGGTCGCGATTCACGCACTCCACCGTGCGCTTCCCGCTTTTCCACTTGCACGAGCACTTGTCGGCACAATTGTCGCTGGCTGCCACACCGAGTACCGTCACCGCATACAATAGAAACACCGAAACCCCCATGATGGATCGTTATTGTCGTCGTCGTAGCGAACTTTGGTCGTCCCACGACTCGATTCGCGACTCTTCTTTTTCTCTTTCTCTCTATATCTTGCTTTCCCGACGACACTCGGGATTCGCGCACGTCGTTTCAATGACGGCCGAGAAGCGTCTTTCGCACAGGAAAGCCTCTGGGGAGCGATCTTACGCCCATTCTCCTTCTTTTCGTGTACTGGTACTTGTATTCCTTCTTTCCTTACAATTCCTCTTTTACTGACTATGTTGATCCTTTCGTAATTTATATGCCCGCTTCAGAATCCTCACCGTAGTGAACTATAAGGGGAAATAAAATTGAACGGATTCGTTTCCATTCGCAAATCCTTCCTCACTCCTTATCCTTACGGTATTATTACGTACTCATTACGTTCCTTCGCCTTCGCCTTCGCTCTGCGCGAGCAGCGCGCGCTCCGTTCGACGAGCCCAAACCACCGAGGACGTCCCTTCGGATTTTCGATCAGCCACTTCGTCGAGTATCCATTGGCGGCGTCACACGTGCGCACACGCGACCAGCACATACGACGTCACTACTAGACAGACGAGCAAGGCGGACAACCTCTCGTCATCATCATCCTCGTCGTCGTCGTCGTCGTTCTTACGTAAATCTATGTCCACCAACGTGCACCACTCGCGTCGTCGCCGACGAGAAGCACCTCGACGCCTCCACCACGCCGTATCGACTGTAACCGCACCACTACCACCAGCGACGACACCACCACCGCTACCACCAGGCCACCACCGCTACCACTCACATCACCGTTCGCCGCCGCCGCTACTACTACGGAAGCACCCCTGATACCCGAATTCTCACGAGATGCACCGTCGTGCTAGCCGAGCATAACGTTGTTCTCCTCGTTGTGTGGGGGCCAATGTACGAGGGTTCGCGAATGTCTCCCCTATTGTGTACCCTTTGTCTCTATCTCTGTATCTGTATGTCTTTCTTTCTCTTTTACTTTCTTTCTTCTACCCGCTATCTCTCTCTCTCTCTCTCTCTCTCTCTCTCTCTCTCTCTCTCTCTCTCTCTCTCTCTCTCTCTCTCTCTC